TCTGTGTTCCTCTCTGTGTTCCTCTCTATGTCTATTTCTGTGTTCCTCTCTGTGTTCCTCTATATGTTTATTTCTGTGTTCCTCTCTGTGTTCATTTCTGTGTTCCTCTCTTTGTTCCTCTCCATGTTCCTCTGTGCTCCTCTCTGTGTTCATCTGTTTCCTGTTTTATTTTGTAGTCTCTGCTCTGTGTGTGTTGTCCCCCTGGACTTCCTGCCCTCATCAGGCTCACCTGTTTGTCCTGTGCCACCTGTCTCCAGTTTCTCGTTAGTTCAGTGTGTATTTAAGTCTTTGTGCTTCCCTATGTCTTTGTCAGTTCATTGTTGTGAGATGCTGTTCCATGTCCCTGTGTCTTTTCACCACTCCTTGTTGTTTCCAGTAAGTCTCTAGTGTTTACTTGTGTCTCTCTTGTTTTTGCTAAAGTTTTTGCCTTTATTTTGGATTTTTTGTTTGCTTTGTTTGCCTACCTTATTCATCAAAGGACGGTTCAGGACTAGTCCAGAACTAACTATAGACTTTATCATAGAGGAACATTTTAATTTAACTTTAAATGTAGAGATGGTGTCTGACTCTAGAACCCAGAGTGGGAGCTGGTTCCACAGGAGAGGAGCCTGGTACCTGAAGGTTCTACCTCCTGTTCTCCTCTTACAGACTCTAGAACCCAGAGTGGGAGCTGGTTCCACAGGAGAGGAGCCTGGTAGCTCAAGGTTCTACCTCCTGTTCTACTCTTACAGACTCTAGAACCACATGATAACCTGTGTTTTGGTAGCGAACTGATCTATCTGGATAGTATGGTGTTATGAACTCTTTGATTATGAAGGGTTAGATTTTTAAAAGGCTTTAAATGTGAGGAGCAGGATCTTGATATTCTGGATTTTACAGGGAGCCAATGTAGAGAAGCTAGGACAGGAGTAATATGATCTCTCCTTCTACTTCCAGTCAGCACTTGTGCTGCAGCATTTTGGACCAACTGGAGACTTTTCACAGACTTCCTGTGACGTCCTGATAATAAAGAGTTACAGTAATCTAATCTAGAGAACAAATGGATGAGTTTCTCAGCGTCCTTCTGAGACAGGATGTTTCTAATGTTCATAATAGTGTGCAGGTGGAAGAAAGCTGTCCTAGAGACTTGTTTTATATATGGGGTGATTAGATTCATCAGGGTTCATAGAAATGTACAGCTGGGTGTCGTCTGTGTAACAATGGTAGTGTATGTGGTGCTTTCTCATGATGTTGCCTAAGGGAGCATATATAAGGTGAAGAGTATCAGTCCAAGGACAGAACCTTGTGGATCTCCATGACTAACTTGCATTTGCATGGGGGGGGGGGTCATTGTTGACGTTAACAAATTGAAATCTATCTGATAAATATGATTTAAACCAGTCTGATGTTCCTCTGATCCCTTCATGTTGTTCTAGTCTCTGTGATCTTATGATCTATGGTGTCAAACGCTGCATAAAGATCCAACAGGACGAGGACAGAGACAAGTCCATCATCTGAGGCCATGAAAAGGTCATTAGTGACTTTTAACAGCTGTTTCTGAGCTGTGATGGATTCTACATCCTGACTGAAAGTTTTCCAACAAACCGTTTCTATCTGAGTCGTCACACAGCTGGTTAGCAACAGCTTCCTCTAGGATTTCAGAAATTAAGGTTTGATATGGGTCTGTAATGAGCTCAGACCTCTGGATCTTTTTATCAGAGGTTTAATTACAGCTACTTTAAAAGCTTGAGGTACGTAGCTGTTTAACAAAGAAATGTTCATCTGATTTAATATGGAACTGTCAATCAGGGGTAAACTTCCTTAAAATGTCCAGTTGGGACAGACTCTAAAAGTCCAGTTGTTGGTTTACATGATGAAACTAATGAGGTCAGTTCAGGAAGGTCAACAGAAGAGAAGTGGTTCAAACATAAATCTGGTTCTATGGTTCCAGGACCAGACAATGTATCTGTGCTCTTCATGGGGAGGAGGTGGTGGATCTGATCCCTGATGGTTATAATTTGATTTGTAAAGAAGCTCATGAAATCATTGCTTCTCAGAGTTAGAGGAATAGATGGGTCAGTAGAGGTGTGACTTTCTGTCAGCCTGGCTACAGAGCTGAAGAGGAACCTGGGGTTGTTCTGATTTTCTTCTATTAATAATGAATAATAAGAGGTTCTGGCATTTCTGAGAGCTTTCTTGTGATTCATCAGGCGATCCTTCCAGGCTAGGTGAAAGTCATGTTGACTGGTGGAACGCCACTTCCTCTCCAGCTTCTGTGATGTTTTAAAACACGTGTTTGAGAATTATACCACGGAGCTGATCTCCTCTGATTCACCTTCTTCTTTTTTAGCAGGCGACAGCGTCAAGGGTTGTTTTTAATGAGGCTGCTGTTCTATTAACAAAGTTATCAACTAGTGTGGGAGTAAAGTTTCCTGTTTTGTACTGACACATGGCTGAGAGGTAAGTGTAGAAGGAAGCAGTTTTATCAGATAAACACAGACTATAATAGAATTTCTGTCCAGAACCAGTGTCGTCAATAATTCTCAAATCGAATGTAATTAAAAAATGGTCAGACAGAAGAAGGTTCTGTGGAAATATTATTACATGTTCAGTGTCTATATCAAACTCAACTCAAACAATGAGTTTATTAACATGTTCAGTCTATTAATGAGTTAAGTAAAAGTAGCTGAACTAAGACTGTTAATTGGCAATAATGTTGAAATCACTGGCTGACCAGTGGCCTGTGTGATCACCTGAGTCTGGTCAGTTTCATTCTTAGCCCTGATTGGATTTCATGACAATGTGTCACGTGAACTTTTTGCCTGAATTCAAATATTTTAACTGAGTTATAGAAACATGTCTATTCATTGACTTTGTTTGTAAGTGCATTGTGTTTGGTAGGAAGACTCCATAAAAGTGTCTTTAACACAAAATGAGAATAAAATGAAAATCAGCCTTACCTGTGTTTCAACGGCAACATCAACACACCTGAAGCTGCTCTCTGGACCTGAGTCTTCATCGTCTGATGGGAGGATGACTGATGGAGAGAAATAGAGGGAAAGATCTTCCTCTGACCAGTCACTGATACACTCTTCCTCCTCAGAGTGAATGTTGGAGGAGATGTCCAGGTAATTGGCCTCAGACGGACGAGTACAGGTGAATTCAGGAGGAAGTCGTGAATTATGATGAGGCAGCAGATCAACTTCAGGGCAGCGGTGAGCACTGAGGAAGACCTCCCTCCTTCCTCCTCTTCCTCCTCCTCCTCTTCCTCCTCCTCCTCCTCCTCCTCTGCTGCTCATTGTAGTTCTTTCTTTTTAATCTGAAGGTTTTTGACGTTTGTCTGTTTCTGTCGAAAATTTGGAAAATATAAAAACAAAGATTGGGGTTAGTGAACAAATGTGAATCTTATTTTCTCTGACACAAACTCAGTTTGTTTTTATCATATGATGAATCATTTGTCATCGTGATTGTTTCTTTATTGCCCTTCCACATTTTATTACCTGAGTAAAATAATGATTCAGTTCAAAAAGCCCATTACCATTAATTAATATTGATTATTGTCAATTTTTAAGGGTTAAACCTCATCTACACACACACAGACACTGTTAATTGTATTCAATTTCTGATTTACTGGTTATTTTTGTTTGATCTTCACATTTAGATACATTTTTATATTCATGCTCTCATCACCAAAGTGATTAGTTTATCCAACAGCCAATCAAAACATGATGTCACTTCTGCAACAGAATAAGTAATTTTAAACTCGAAACCCATTTTATTGTAATTCTAAATTTGTATTCATGTACAATTCATTAGTTTTAAATACTGAAAGTTTCCAGTTGTAATGTAAAAATAGTGAAAGTTAAAAAAAATTAACTTTTATTTAGAAAAAACATGTGAACATATACATATATGCACAAACGTTGTTTTCCCAACTTAAGTTTAAAATCATATATTCAAAAAACGTATTAGGGATATCAATAGATTTAATCAATAAAAAATTTTGAACTTTTTCTCACCTGTTCCTGGATCAAATTCTGATGATGATTCAACAGGAACTGACGGAATCACTTCCAATCATAGATTCATATTTAGATCCTGATAGAGATCCTGGTCTTGGCTGAAGTAGTCAGAGTCGTGGACCAGGTGTCATCCAGGTTTTTGGTCCAGATGCAGGATTTCTTTTTCATGTTTTCCCAATTGAAACTTTAAATCAATATTTCATGATATAATATTTTCCCACAATGTTTTTAGGGTAATTAGTCCATCAGAGCTGGTTCTGGTTCAGGGAAGTTAAAGTTTTCCTGTTCTTTGATAAATAAGTTTTTCTGTTAGAAAACTGACAATGACTGTGCTATGGGAGAGAAAGAAGTTCAGATACATAGAGTGAGAGTAAGAGTGGTGGAGTCAGACTGTTGAGTGTTGCTGACAGACTGCAGGTCCAGAGAGAGAGGGGGGAGGTGGTTGAGAGACATAGAACCAAATAGAGAGAGAGAGAGAATGGGTGTCAGACTGCAGGTTTCTATTTTAGGAGGTGATTGACAGACAAGGCTGTAGCTGCAGAGAGAGCGAGGGTTAGGATAGGGGAATTGAGCCTGTGTCCTATAAAGGGTGGCGGGGGGTGCTCTGTCCTTCCCCCAGGATGACGCTCCCTGGTCCCAGATACTCTGACAGGGATGGCCTTGTTGCCTTCCATATCTCACAGTGGTCCTCCACCGTCTTCATTTTGGCTTACTGTGTGATTGTTGTTTGTCTATTTATTTGTGTGTGAATTAATCACAGGTGCTCGTGCAGACTCTTCTCAGGGTTAGGGGGTTAGGTTTATTGAGATATCTCGATGACTCCTCCTGCTACATCTGACGACTGGGCAGTTGAAATGGGGAGCCAAAGGCAATGCACTGGCCCATGTACGCTATCAATACTCTCCATTCTCACATATCCCCCGGTCGAGTTAGCTTTTAAGAAGAAAGGATTTTTCTGTTTCTTTGTGTTAAGACATACGTCTTTTCACAGTACAGTTAAGTTTTGCCGTCATTTTTAATCCTTCATTATACGTGTTTTAGTTTTTTTTAATGTTTCTTAGGTTTTGGACATACGTATTTTAAAATGTATTGATTTCTATTGATTGTTTCACCTGTTTGGATTCATTTATTGATTGTAGTATTTATTATAGGTTCCTAATATTATTTAATTGAACACATTATCAGTAGTGGACCTCAGGATCATTGGGTGTTTCGGCCATTACCACTAGACACCCTTACCGAAGGGAGGCCCCGCCAGGGTTGATCAAGCCCTGGGTTGTGTTCAACTAACTTTGTTATACATAATCTAAGAAGAGGGTTAGGGTAAATGTTTTTGGTTTTCCAGTTTTTCAAGAATTAAGTGCCCACGTTTAGTTTTAATCCGGTTTGGGTTAGGATACAGGATAGAGTGGTTAGGGTTAGGGCAGAAGATAAACTGGTAGGTTTAGGATTAGGGACATGGTTAGGGTTAGGATACAGGATGATAACCACACTGAGGTTAGGGGGTTAGGGTTAGGGCAGAAGATAAACTGGTTAGGTTTAGGATTAGGGACATGGTTAAGGTTAGGATACAAGATGATAACCACACTGAGGTTAGGGTTAGGGTTAGGGTACAGGATGATAACCACACTGAAGTGGGCCCTTCTTGAATAACATTTGTCTGAAGGTCGTAGAGACTTGAAAGTTGGCTCCGCCTCCACTAATTTGGGTATCCCCAATCATTTGGTACCATCCCCGAGTCTCTACGACCTTCGGAAGGGGTCGAACGGTGAAATTGGGAAAAAGCTCACGGGCCCTTCTTGAATAACTTTTGTTCTGAAGGTCCTAGAGACTTAAAAGTAGGCTCTCTTCCAACCTTTTCAGGTATTCCCGATCGATTGGTACCATCCCCGAGTCTGTACGACCTTTGGAAGGGTATTAACGGTGAAAACCAGGGGGCAGTAATGAGTCATTTTCAGGATAACTTTTTTTGTGAAGGTCATAGAGACTCTGGGACAAGACTGGTGTGTTCAGCATGGTCAAATAATGTCAGACAGATCGTGGTTCCAAGTCTCTACGACCTACGGTTCCAGAGATATTGGTGAAAAATGACTCCCCATTAAAAGCGAATGGAGCAGTCAGAAGTGAAAATGTCCCAAGTGTGGAGGTGAAAATCGTTCCTCCTGAATATATTATAAATGTTATCATTATATACTGTTATTATTATTACATACTGTTGTTAACAATCACACGGCCATCATGTCATCAGTACGGTTACCATTATTTGTAGTACAAGTATTTAATTGTATTGTTGTATTTCATTCTATTGTTGTATTTCAGAGAGGAGACTAGGAAATGGAGGATTTCTTAGCCCAGTGCAAACTACGCCACCACTGTGTACATGGCAATCAACTGGGCCCACTCTGAGCATCACGTGTGTGGCGTCAGCACATATGGTGCAGACTGTAGCGACTTTAGGGTTCGGTTCAGGGCAAGGGGGTAATAGCCAAGTGTGTCCGCGTCCGGCTCTGCGGACACGCTATTTTCGGGGATGCCAGAGACTCTGGATTTTGGCTACCCCCCCATTTTCAGGGGTGCTCTTTCCGTTGGTGGCAGTGCCCGGCAGCTACAACCTTTGGTTAGGGTTAGGGTTAGGGTTAGGGGGTTAGGGTTGGGGTTAGGGTTAGGGGGTTAGGGTTAGGGGTTAGGGTTAGGGGTTATGGTTAGGGTTAGGGTTAGGATAAGGGGTAAAAGCACAAATCTGAGGAGATATTCTTGAATAACTTCTGTTGTGAAGGTCGGAGCGACTTGCAA